TGTTTAGAATAACAATGAATTTTACAGTTACAAATTCTATTATTTAACCCATGACTGGGGTTATGAAATTGATTCTTACCTTTCCCAATGGTATTTACGCTAAAGTAAAAGTGTAAATCAAACTAGACTCTCCGATTTCTCATTCCGTGCTACTATCCATTACACCAACCGCACATCCACTTCTTCTCTACAAGAAGTCTGTTAAAGTTAACTTCGTGGTGTCGAAGATCAAAATGGATTAAAATAAAGAGAGTAACGATTATATTGCGCCAATCTTCTAGATAAGGAATTTTTATTTGCCTTGAAAACCAGCATTCAAAATTTTGGCTTTTTTCTAGAATTGACTAATGACCTTGTTTGGAAAGAAGCATCTATCTCAGCCATGAAGCTGTTGATTCCATAGATAATTGGTAACATATCAAATGTTGATGGTAATGATAAAATAATATTACTTACTTTGCTACCATACTGAATTATACAAGTATTCGTTAAACCACAACAACATGTCATAACGCTCTTACCGTCGTTTTAAATTTAAAATTATTTTCTCTTCTTACTAAATGGTAATAGTCATATTAGCCGTTTTCATATAAGGAAACATTTAGTATCCATTGACTGAGCAGCTAGTACTGCTATCAGTTGAAACTTATAAAATATTTCCCTTAAAACAATTTTTCAGAAAAATGAGTTTCTCAAGTTCAGTAGCTTTTATCGCTCTTTCCAGTACTGGTGGGGGTTTCCTTCCTAACCTTTTATTTATTAAGTAGTGTGGAATTGTCAACATCTTGATTATGTCATTATTTTCTCTTCGGGTTATATGTGATATTCATTCCAGCTGTTGCTGCTGTTGAAACTCCTCAGGTGATGTGGTTTCTGTTATTTCTTAAAGGTCTTTGTGATTATATAGCGCCAGTCCGCAAGATTTGAAAAAGGATGGTTTTTGCCAGGACCAAGAGTCTTCACTTGCTTAAAGCAGTTTTAAATATTGATCTCAGAAAGCTTTAAAATAGCTAACAGTTAACTATCTGAACAGGTTAGGCGACATGCATATGAAAGTCTCGATATTTTAGATTATTTAAGAACAATATGAGTTTTCAGGTTAATGTTTTGGTTTTGTAGCAATTGGTGGTATTTGGCGAAACTACCTAGATCGCAGATAAGTTCAATTTCCTTATCTACTATACCTAGAGGTGAAGTAATGGATAGCGGCTCGGATTGAGGAATCGGAGAGCCGAGTTCGATCCCAGTCGAATCCATTACATTACTACTTACTTGCTAATACCCTTGGAAAAGGTATGAATCCTCTTCTTCTTCTCCCCAGCTGTGGGTTAATAGCATGACAGACTGAGTTCTATAGTCTTGGATGGCAACTGGTCTACCGCAAAAAGAAATGGCAACCTACTGCGGAGAAAAAATCTGTCTCGTCAGTCATGTATCGAAAGATACATGATCGTCTAAGCATGTATCACGCATGGCACATAACTGACTGACGTGCTAATACCCTTAGGAAAGGTATGGATCTTCTTCTTCTCCTCCCCAGCTATGTGTAAATAGCAGGACAGACTGGGTTCTATAGCCTTGGATGGCAACTGGTCTACGGCAGAAAGAAATGGCAACTTACCGCGGGAAAAAATCTGCCTCGTTAGTCATGTATCGAAAGATACATGATCGCTTAAGTATGTATCACGCATGGCACATAACTAACTGAATACTTTCACCGTGATGGATCCAACATTAGATACCTCTGTACGTGTGAGGGACTTTAGTGGAGGTTTACGTTTTTAATTCTCTAGTGTATTAATGCGTGAGTGATAAACCTCATTTTTGGGAGATGCATTTCTGATTCCAGAATAGAGAATCTTGTTGTTGAATTTGTGGAGAAATTAAGCTATTTTCCCAAGTCTAGCTTCAATGTCAAGAGTTGCTTTGTTATTCTTTAGTTTTATTTAACAGCTTTCTTAATTTCCTCATCAGTTGTTTCATTGTGGTTCATGTTTGCAGACAGGCTTAGTAATGATTGGATGTATATTGATATATGTATTATTTCTGTGGGGATCTTTAGTTTAGTGTGGTCAGAGTTGGAGTGCCATTAAAAGTATGTTTTAAAAAAAAACGCAAATCTTTTGTGTCCTCATTCTATTAACCGCGGAGACAAAAAGCTTCAGAAGTGTACATACATTTGAATGTAAATATTTACTAAACTTTGCCTAGCCTAGAACAAGGACATAACAGTGAGACGTCTGCTCGTAAATTACCTCATTGACTACGACTTTCAATGGCAAATGCTCTGCTAGATGGATTAAGCATGATAATAATATATTCCCTTGTTCCGCTAAATCAAACCTTCACGGCAAGAAAACGCCCTGTCATTCACACAGTAGCAAACCATCCACATTCCGTCCGTATTCCATCGGTGAGAAGTAAGTTCCACTCGAGCAGCTTCTTACCGCGAATCACTGCCCTGCGGAACAGACTAACAACAGAATGTTTCCCCGATCACTACAATCTTGGCCTGTTCAAGACTAGGGTCAACCGTTATCTGCCACTACTATACACACAAATGGCCTCCTAACGTAAACTTCTATTTCGTGTGGCTCCCGGGCCTTGTAAAGGGTGAACTTACTGTAGAATATATATATATATATATATATATATATATATATATATATATATATATATATATATACTGTGTTGGTCGATAGTTTTCTTGCTATTTTTCTCGTTAGATGGAATTTGGAGCGCTTAGTTTAAACTAACATCTGTCAAAACTTGCCAATTGGTTACATCGTAATAGTTTTTAAAAGAACAGTTTTTATTGTATTTTGACAATAAAAAGGTCGATTTTGATTGCATTTCGTGAGATCAAGTATTTTGATTTTGTATTTTGACAGATCAAAATGTTAGATTTTGAATGATCAAAAGATCAGTTGGTTTTTGACAGTTCAAGGAGATGGATTTTGATTGTATTGTGACAAATCAAAATTTTGCATTTTGGGAAATCAAGAATTTCGATTTTGAGCGCATTTTGAATGATCAAAAAGATTGCTTTGATTCTATTTCGACAAATGAAAAAGGTCGATTTTTACTATATTGCGACAGATCCAAATATTGCTTTTGATTGTAATTTATCAAATCAAAAAGATCAATTTTGATTGTATTTTGAATTATCAACAAGATGGCATTTGATTGTATTTCATCAGATGAAAAAGACCGATTTTGACTGTATTTTGACATATCAAAAAAATTAATTTTAATTGTATATTGGCAGATCAAAAGGCTCGATTCAGTTTGTATTCAAAAGGACCGCTTTTTGTATTGTCATACCAATGTGCATTTATAAATTGTCGAAATTCGCTTACAATTTCTATTCTATTCTTATGAATTGCTCTGACAATTTCAAAAAAGGCACGAACTATCATACCTTTTTCGAAATCTGATCATTCTTATAAGCTTGCCATAAAACGTATTTGCAACTATTTATTTATGTTAATGACCCAGCTATTTAAAACTGTCTTAATAGTAAGTCCGATAGATCCGACAAAGTAAAACTAACAGCTGCTCTCGAAAATGACCTCCAATCAGTTGTTAACTGGGGTAAGGAATGACTTGTAAATAGTAACCCCTCCAAAACGAGATTGCTATCCTTCACTCATCATAGAGAACTATTTTTACCCCCCCCTCCCCAATTAACATTGTTGATGCTGGCCTTCGGGTCAGCAACTCATAGCGCCTTCTTAGTCTCAAGTTTTCTACTGAGATGAAGCGAGGTGAATATATTAAATCAGTTGCTAGATCTGCTACTAAGGTTGGTACACTGTCGTGTCAGACAATTTTCTCTCGTCAGAATCCTTCTTGCAAATTTATAAATCTACCATCTTTCCGTGCATTGAATTTTGCTGCCATATCTGGTCCGGCTATATATCTCGAGACAAAAACCAAAGAAGGGTCTGTAATGTTATCGGTCATGTGAAATGATTAACTACTTCAGAGTTGATCCAGTCCTCTAGTACTCTGCCAAAAAGAGACAGAAACCTAATAGGGTGAGAGAAGAATCAGATGGTTCACATGAGTTCTTAAAGACTAAAGGCAATTTTTAACAAGTATGTATCAGCCAAGCATTTGTTGTAAAGTTTAGAATGATCAGGAGCCAGTTGAGTAGCACAGTTCCTAGGCACTATTGCAATGATACCATCAGGTTCATATGCTTTCTATAAATATTTTCATGTCAGTTATTTTAATGACCTTCCCACTTTGCTAACTCGGCCATATGAATTGTGGCCTAGATTGGCCACTAAGTCTTATCGTTTTATTATTAAATAGGTAAATGGAACCGTAAGTTCTATTCTAATAGTTTCTTCTCTCGGACTTCTCAACTTTGGAATTATTCTAATTTCTTGCTTCTCTGCCATTTTATAATCTTCAAAAATTTAAATGCGTTAATCACCATCTTCTGTTTTCCTGAACCCTCTTCTTTTATAGTCCTTTCTCCTCATTAAAGTCTTCTCAATCTCTTCCACTCCCAGTAATCCCTTGCGTTTTAGTGACATTATCGCCTTGCTTGGGAGGATGCTTAAAAAATAAATAAGTGAATAAAAATAAGCGTGACAATTCAACTGAACGTTTCACTGAAGATTTTTATATTAGTGTTGTAACTTAAGGAAGGTTACTGAATAGAATAATCGAACGAAGTTTGATAATTAACGATAATACTTAGGACAATAACAACACATATAAGATTCGCCAGCGGCGCGTAGAAGATGTAGTCAAGTGAATTCCACAATGAATCTCCAACTGCAGGATATCTACCAACTGCCCCACGCGGTCAGATGTGGCACAAGGCCGAATTTAATATGAAGTATCCGAGCCCGTATGCTCGACTAAAAATTCCCCATTGATCCCGTATAAATGGTCAAAATATTGAAATGAATTATTTAATCGTGCCGCTACTTGCCCATTTGGTATACAAAAGTAGTTACGTTAAGAAGCTGTAAGGTTCTAAAATGTCTTTGATTGTGATATGGTAATTGTTCCAATGAGCTCTTCGCTATGGTACCTAGACTTTATGAATCTAAGTGTCGTACTATATTGGCAACAAGGTTTCATCAATTTACAGTTGAATTTTCTAGATGTAACAGTAAGTTCTATGCTTCTTTTCTCGCACTTCTCGCTTGTGGAACCTCTTTCTGGCCCCATACTTTCTGGTAAGCCTTGATCTTCAAAAATTTAAATTCAGTGTCCACCGTTATGTATGTCTTCCTGATTACTCTTCTATTGTTCATGCGCCTTCATAATCTGTTGTTTTTCTAATTATTTCACACCCAGTAACCCTTTGTATCTTAGTGGCTTTACTGTCTTGCTTGGGCTAAATTTGATTTTTAAAATAGTCCTTATGTCAGATTTCAAATAATGTAAAATATGGATACATTCTTTAGTAGCTTATATGGCTACATCTTGCGCCCAATGTCACCAACGTTGCCGCGTTCGAATCCAAATCTTAAATACTGATTTTCAAAGACAGACTAGGTTCCCTTATTTGGAATATTTACATAGTATAATCTTTCTAACTGCATTGACCTTGTGCCTTACTAGATTACACTGAGTAATAATATTTAGTACTTTATTCTGGGTGGTCCCGTTTTTAAGCTTATACTTTTTAGCATTGTTTTAAGAATTAACCATAGATATTTTCTTTTTTTCTTTTTTTTTTTTTTTTGTAATCTGGAAAACGTCTCTTAGCGAACGGAAATATAATATGTATGTGGAATGTTGCGTTGTGTGGACGATAGTCAGTCTTATCTACATTGGATATAAATAGCACTTTTACTCTTCTCACATCAGATAGTGCCAAAAATTCTGGGAGGGACACTTGACCTTCGTTTTTGTTTGTTTTTGTTTTTTATTTATTTGTTTTTATTCATTTTTTTTTTTTTTTTTTAGGATATGTGTAAGTTCGTCCGATTCGGGAAGACATAGGACTCCATTGTTGTCTGATTTTACTTTCAGTCGACCTTCCCCCACCGCTACTGTCCTTTACTTTTCTTATTTCATTTGTCAGTACTATCCTCTCTACATAATTCTTTCCGTCCATTTGTTTATCTCACTACGCCATTTTGTCTTTCTTTCGTTCTCGCTCCCTACCGCTCTCTCCTTCCCTTTCTCCTTCCTTCTCTTTGACCCTCTCTTTCTGTCTGTCTGTCTGTCTGTCTCTGTCTCTCTCTCTCTCTCTTTCTCTCTCTCTCGTTCAGCCCTTCACTTTCTCCGTCTCCCCCTGTTTCCGCCTTTCTTTCTCTTTGCATCTCACAATGTTTGAATTTTAATCAGACTCAAAAGCATACTTACAATTCCAGTTTATCACTTTTCTCCTGCTTGTTTGTTTCTTTTCCTATCAATTTTGCACACACCCCTCTCTCTCTCTCTCTCTTTCTCTCTCTCTCTCTCTTCCTCCCTGTCCCTCTCTCTCTCTCGCGCACACACACAGACACACACACTTTCTCTCTACCCATCTTTCTCTCCCTCCCTATCTCTCTGTCACACACACACACACACACACACGCACAGACGCTCTCTCTCTCTCTCTCACACACACACACACACACACAGACGACACACATTACTCTATCTATCTATCTATCTATCTATCTATCTATCTATCTATCTATCTAGGTATTTCTTTTTCCCAACATTGTTCTTTCTTATTCTTATATTCTTTCATTTTACTATTAAATCTTATCTTTTTCTTAGAATTTTTCATTCGCTCTTATTCTTTTATATTCTTTTCATTCTTTCTTTTTCAAATAAAGCTTTCATTTTCTTGTTCATTTTTTATTCAGTCATAATGTGTATACTCTTTCTCTTACCTTCTTTTTCTTTTACAATTACATCTTTCATTCGTTTGCTTTTTTTTTCACATTCTTTCGTTTAACATATTTTCTGATAGACATTCAATATTCTTTTCTTTTAAATCTTTCATTCTCTGGCATATTTTTCAATCTGATTCTCTTAAATTCTTTCCGTTCTCTTTCTTTCTAATGTCTACTCTATTTGTATGTATGTATGTGTGTATATGTATCTGTGTACGTGTGTGTACGTATCTGTGTGTATGTATGTATGTATGTACGTGTGTGCGTTTGTATTTGTATGTGGCGGGAGGTTCCTGGCTAGAGAAACGTCTCTTCTTGAATAGGTTCATTGTGATTAGCGTTTCTTTAAGGAATTCTCCTAAAGGGTTTGTCAGAAACATTGCAGAATCTATATATTACGTATACTGTATTATATTACATTGATATTTCAGCAATTTTTGTCCATTGTGTTTCATCGGCATTCCTTTTTTCTTACTTTTATTTCAATAGCTAACATTTCAACAATATTAGGATGGCTTTTCAATAATGGTCACCCCTATACAAGACCCAAGAGCCTCTCGAGGTAGAGGTTTACAGAGTAAGAGGCAGTTTATGGGGATTCGTGGGGAAGGTAATGGTTGAACCTAGACTTGAACAGGTTAAAATTGTAATGATCTGGGAAGTATTCACATTGGAGTCGGTTCCACAACGCATTTCACCAATGGAATACAAAAATAACGAGGTTGATTTGATACAATGTGCGTGGCATAGCGTGTCTTAACCGTGAAAGTTAGAAATGGTGGAACTAAGGAATGCAATTCATCTGAACACTTTCCATGGAAATAGTGATAGAGCAGCGAGAAGCTTGCAATATTTCATCTGTGAGAAAGAGGTTGTAGGGTGCAAAATAATTCATCACCCACAAAGACGCGATATATGGCAGCAGTACTCCATTTTCGACCTAGTCTGTAAAAGTAGATGATAGCATGAGTCAGGTACATACTGGATCGGTATGTACAAGTTCCACTTGAGGCCTGGATTGTTCCAACAGACGCTCAAGACATCCTTGTAGGCGATGAATTATCTTCCACGCTGCACCCCTTTTCTCACAGAAAAGACGTCGCAAGCCTCTCTCTACTATATCGCTATTTCCATGGTGAGTGTTCAGGCGAAGTAAATTCCTTAGTTCCACCAGTCCTGCCATTGTAGCAAACCACCCTCATTCCATTCATATCCCCCCTGGTGAGATGTAAGTTTCACTCAGGCAGCTTCTTCCAACGAATCGTTGCCTTGTGGAACTGATTCCCAAGAGTCTACATCCTTGATCACTACAATTTTAACCTGTTCAATTCTAGGTTTAACCGGTGTCAACCACACATATCTGCATTAGCTGTAACTCTTACTCTGTAACCATCTACCTCGAGTGGTTCTTAGACCTTCTTTAGGATGAACACTGCTGTAAAAGATAAGACTCGGAGTATCTCTGGCAGAACAATCGTTCATTGTGATAGGCGAAAATTCAGAGACAGCTCGGTGATGATGCCATAGCTGCTTTTATTTTAACTACTAACATTTCAACAATAAGAAATTTAACGATGCCATTAACAGAATGGCTATGTACCTTATTTTGAGTGTTTTCATCACTACATTTTAGACTATATAGTATTTCGTCCCATTCAGGCTTATTAATCATCTAACACCGTTTTCCCATAATTGGCCGGTCTCTATCTTGCGTTCGTTGACCGAGTATGTGAGTAACAAGAACGTTTTATGACAAAGGGCAACATAAACTTGTACTTAGAATCGGAAAAAGACAATTGAAATTTTTGGGACGCATAATGAGGAAAGAGATCTTGTAGAATTTAACACTCACAAGACATACTGAAAGCAAGGGGGAACAGCAAGTGACTTATTTAACAAACGTGTGTAAATGGGTGACAGAACAAAGGTTGCGAAGAATAGCAAAAAAATTAAACCTAAAAAGAGTAGGAAGTTGTGGAGAACCATGATCGCCCAAATACTAAAGGGAAGCGACACATAAAAGAAGAACCCAAGATTTATTTGCCCAGATATGCAAAATACGAAACTTTTATGTGATTTTTTAAAGGAAAAAGCAAAAACTACAATAACTTAAATTTTCTTTGCATTATAGGTGATAATGCCTTTCTAAGCGTAGCTTAGATGTGGCACAAGGCCAGTGAGGATTGTACTCACTACTCTACTTGTTCTAGCGAGATAAGCTTGCTAACCATTACACCGACTCGGGGTGGCCGCATTATAGGTGATATAGCCAGAGGTTTTTGTGACGTACGCTGAGATTTTGAGCTTATATTATAGTCGCATGACTATGTCTTACCCGATAGCAATACAAAATAATGACTTTCTTCAGCTGTATCCAATAATGTAAAAGGAATTTTGAACCGAACACTTTCTTTAATCGATAGAAGTAGATGTTCTCATTCTAGTTTCTCTGTTAGGGGAGATAAGTCATATTCTTCGAAATTAATTCGCTCTTGTTATTTCGATTCTATTCGTTCCGCTAAATCATGTTATGCGGATTTCGCTGCTTGACCTCGGGATTGAACTCACGCTAACTAGATAAAGTGTATATATTAAACCAACGTTTATACCTACTATGCCACAGAAATGCAAGACTAGTCGGAATAAAGAAGTATATAATATTGTTTTCATTTCATCAATTTGAAGAGAAATCCTAACGTATTGTAGATTTTTAAGAAATTCCTTTAAAGAGAAAATAGATTTGCTCATCGGGGCAAATACTTTCACGGTAACTTCTCTGACTTCTCTGACGAGCTACTTTCGCTAGTTCCCAGACTACATGAATTTAAGCGTGCTACTAGGATGGCATCACAGTCCTACACTTTCACTGTCGAAACGGTTAAATGTAGCCGTTTCTTCTACTCCAATAGCTTCATGTCTCGCACCTCTCGTCTTTGGAATTCCCGTCCGATTACTTGTTACCCCGATAGCTATAATCTCCAACTGTTCAAATGTAATGTCAATCGACATCTTCAGATGCCCTGACCTATTCCCTGTCCTTCTCTTCATCCTTTCCTCCATCACGCCTCTTGACTATGGCTCCCACTCTTAACCTCTATGCTAGTGGCATCTCGCCTTGCTTGGGGTGAAATGCTTAAAAAAAAATTTACACCGAAAGTGCATTCTTCAAGGTAATATCTTCCCCGTATGCCCCGTATAAAACGGGGGCGGGTAGATGTTTCCCGAGATGAGACTCTGCCCTTCAACATAGCCTCGTCTGGGGTTCCTCTCTGCACGGAGGTAGAGAGTTTGACCAGCAAACCTGAAGACGAATCTCCAACTGCAGACCAACATACAGTATTTACTACTGTATTTATATGAATGGAGACACAATTATTTTACCGTTATATTTTATGAATCCACATGTTTGAATAGACATCAGTTTTTTTTAAACAGCGTAATGATACATCTACCGGCTTGTTCATTTGAGAGTTTTAATAAAGTATATATGCCTTCTGGCAAAGTTCGATCATTATCCCTTCTTATAATGGATACCATCGTCATGTCTGGCGTAGTTTAGAATTATAAATTTCAGATTACAAATAAAATGTTGTAAATAACCTTGTTTATGTTTAGAATACCAAAATAAAATTAGAAGATATGAGCTTTGAGAGATCTCAACAAGAGATATTCATTTCTTAAATAGGATAATTGAACCATGACTGACTGTGAAAGCTTTCTGAGCGATCTAAAGCAGATCGGGTTGGATAATCATCATCATCATTATCATCATCGAATTCGACGAAGGCACGGGAATTTGAGAGAGTATCTAGGAAAGTACAGATATCCCGGGTAGCAACTTTCACATTTAACTGCTTACGTATTTTCCTATTTTTGTTCGGTCGAGTACCCCAAAAGTGGAGGCCCATCGGCTGCGGTAGGTTGATCAGGATAAGACACGTACAAGCTATTTTTACCCCACCTTTTCTAGAGACTTCCCCAGTCACAGTACCAGCATGGCGATGCTTCAATAAGGCTGCTTGAACACTGAGTCGCGGTTGCATACTGGGGAAGCTGCAGCTAGCTCTCGTATGAGGCAGCTGTCCCAGTGTCCATGCAGCCTTATTGATGAATAGCAACGTCACTAGAAAAGTTAGTGAACCTGCAGGTAGCTCTATTATGAGGCTGCTGTCCCAGAGTCCAGGCAGCCTTATTGAAAAATAGCAACACGTGACCTGTGACCGGGTTCACCGTATCTGGGGAACTTAGGGGACTAACTCAACCCAACAGAGGGAAGCATTCGAATACCGAAGTGGTTAAACATTTTAGTTCTCACGGCCTTTTTTCGGACAAACAATATAGCTTCCGTTTCGCCAGGTCTACTGCTGATTATGTTAACAGCCATCATTAAATTTGTATATCAATCCCTGTGGATCTAGATATTTCGAAGTTATTCGACAGGTTTTTGCGAAAACTCCAGGGCCACGAATATTTGGATTAATCCAATCGTTCCTATCAAATTGTGAAATGAAGGACGTGTTGAACGAGCTCGCTTCCAGATCCTTTCATACGAACGCGGGGGTCCCCCAAACTTCTAATTGATCTCACCCTACTGCCCAGACAGAAGGACGCAGGTCTTAAACCTGTCAGAAAATACTTTTTCTTTATTAATACTCACAAATGCACAGAATGGTAGACGTAAATTTGAAAAGAACGGGATATTTAATCAAATATGTGTATCCTGTAAATATTAACGCAATAAAAATAATGTCAGATTATAATTAAAATCCATTAATTCCTTAGAAAATATGTTGTCTTACTAACGTAGGCAGGTAAATGAGAAAAGGCTATGCAATGTCGACATTGTATACCATAGGCATACCTCAGTGTTTTTCACACTTCTCAATATATAACTTTTTTTTATTTTCTTTTGGTTCATATTATTATATTCGGTTACAATATTGTTTAGTCTCGTCTCTTTTTCAATATACAGACGTATTTTTAGACTTTGATGTGATTGGTTCTGATAGATTTCTTCTGGGGTGAAATAATCCATCCTTCTCAGTTCATAGATGTTCTTTCT